ACTAGCTATCATTTGTCAACTGCAGGCTGTGTGCCAGGCATTGTACTAAGAAATTTGCATGTATGGCTTTATTTAATCTTCACAAAAACCCTGCGAGAGAGAGGTGCTTTTATTATCATCCCCGTTTCACAGATTGGAAAACCAAGGCTTAGAGAGGTGAAGTAGTTAACTATTCCATGTCTTTGACTACACTGGGATTTCTGTTTCAGTTATCTACCTCTGTGTAACAAATGGACACAAAACTTAGTGACCTAAAGCAACCACTGTTACCGGGTGTCACCATGACACACACCTGTGATCCCAGCAACTCAGGAGGCCGAGGCAGGAGGATTCCATGTTCCAGGTCAGCCTTAGCAACTTAGTGAGGCCCTAAGCAACTTTGTGAGACCCTGTCTCAAAATAAAAAATAAAAAAGGGCTGGGGATGTGACTCAGTGGTAGAGCACCCCTGGTTCAGTACCCAGCAACACACACACACACACAAAAAGAAGTTGGGAAGTTTACAAAGTATATGGAGAGTACTTTAGAGTTTTAAAATATAGTGTTGGGTTTAATGTGAAAAGAAAAGAAAAACCTAAGGGCAAACCAGAATAATCAAATAATCTTGAAAAAGAAGAGCTAAGTAGGAGAATGCACTCGTCTATATTTAAAAGGTTGCTAGACAACAAGACCGTGTACTTCTGGCATAAGGATAGAAATGTAGATCCAGAGAGCAGACCGAGTCTAGAAATATACCCTTGTGCAGCGAATAAGTAAAGGAAATGGTATCTGAACCCAGTCTGGCCCTAGCAGCTATGTGTCTTGTGTACCCACCTCTCCCAAGTATTCCTATCTTTTGGCCCCATAGTCCTACATCAAATAATCTTCCAAAATCTTCCCCAAACCCTCAAACATGTGCCCAAAGATACATCATTCAGAAAATTAACAACAGCATGGTTGAAATAGAGGAAGCTGGGAACACCCGAAATATCCACTAAAAGGCCACTGGTTAAATTGATGGCCTTGAAGAGGACATTTAAGGTGTTTCCAGCTGTTTTCCAGGAAGGACCCTTGGATTCTCCTGGAGGTCCCTCTGTTTACCCCTTTCTCTGAGGTGACCCTGAATTTTAATTTCATTTTTTCCCGTTGGTGTCAATGGACCCCCCCAGGGTCAGGGGCTGGGCTTTCCATGCGTGTTTCTACTGTCCCCGGGAAGCACTGGTGTCTCCTTAGTGTTCCTCGGAAGAGGAAATGAATGAATGAGTGAATCCTCACAAGGAATAAAATATCCAAACTTTCCCCCTGGATCATTTTATGGTTTAATCTATTGGAACCTGAATAAGATTAGGCCCATATGTGAGCCTATCTGTGTATTCTACTCCATTTCTGTCTCTGTCTTTCTGTGTGTGTGTTTGTGTGTGCGCTTGCGTGTGCACGAAGCGCATTTATCCAGCTGCATAGATGAGCTAGGGAGGGGCTGGGATTTGGTTTAAAGCTCTGCTGTTTTAACCTTGAAATTCTTACTACTTTTTGGACAAACGTCCTCGCATTTTCATTTTGCCTTGGGCCCTGCAAATGATGGAGCCAGTCCTGAAGTCACGGATATCCTCACTGTGATGATGGAGTCTTGAGTCATATTGGAACCCTCTGTGGATCAGAAGGCAAGTAAGGCCAGAGCTTGATCACAGTGGGGCCAAGTCCCAGCCTCGCCTGACCTGCCTCCCTGTAGACTATTTTTATTATCATTTTTTTTAGTTATAGGTGGACACAATATCTATATTTTATTTTTCTATGATGCTGATGATTGAACCCAGTGCCTCGCGCTTGCTAGGCAAGCACTCTACCTCTGAGCTGCAACCCCATCCCTTATTATTTTTATTTAGTTGTAGATGGACACCATTCCTTTATTTTATTTTTTTATTTTTATATGGTACTGAGGATTAAACCCAGTGCCTCACACATGCTAGGCAAGTGCGCTACCACTGAGTCCCAGCCCCAGCCCTCCCTGCAGAATACTTAACAACTTGTTTAACCCCTGTGTCCCAGAGAGAATCAAAAGCAGACCTTACAGACACCGCGTGACTTCAGATACTATCTTAACAATTTCTCTCTTTTTTTTTAATTTTTATTTTTTTTTAGATGTAGATGGACACAATACCTTTTTTTTCAAAAATATTTATTTTTAGTTGTACTTGGACACAATATCTTTATTTTATTTTGTGTGGTGCTGAGGATCGAACCCAGGGCCTTGCACACGCTAGGCAAGTGTTTTACCGCTAAGCCACAATCCCAGCCCAACAATTTTAATTTTAATAAAGAATAAATAAACCCACTCTGGCCAGGTATGGTGGTGCACACCTGTAATCCCAGAGGCGAGGCAGGAGGATCACCAGTTCAAAGCCAGCCTCTGAAATAGTGAGGTGTTAAGCAATTCAGTGAGACCCTGTCTCTAAATAAAATACAAAATAAGGCTGGGGATGTGGCTTAGGGGCAAGAGGTTGAGTGCCTCTGAGTTCAATTCCCGGTTCAATTCCCAGTACCCCCCTCAAAAAAAAAAAAAGATATTTTTCATTTTTCCTACATGATCCCTATGGAATATATGGTTTTATATCCTCTACAATTTCATGTAACTCTTCCTAAAAGACCCCACCAGGGTAAAATATTTCCCTCCAAAGCAACAGTCTCCCTCTTCCAAGTAATTTAAACAGGGCTTTTTCAACAAAGCTACATTCCTCTTCCTTAGGATTTCTAAAGAATGTTTCTTAATGAGATTTAGTTTGTGTCACATTCTACGAACTTAAAAAGGGAAGCAAACTTAGAATCAAGCCCAAGTTTGAGGTTTGGTTTGATGTATCTTTCCGTTGGTTCTTGCTGGTTTTAGTGAGAAGCTCTGTCCACATACCTGCCCATGAGCTTCTGGGTTGTAGAGACTTTTGTTCCTTCTCTAAAGCAAAGTCACAAGTCTTCCAAACCAAAGTCACACAGGAAAGAGACTTTCTTTCAAAACACATTTTTATTAAGATGAAGCAACAAAGCAGCAGCCCAGGAAAGAGTTATAACCCAAAATAAAATTTTAAAAGCAGAAGCACGGGGTTTTCACAGATTTCTGTCGGGAGGCTTGTGGTCCTTTGATGCTGATAAGAATCCCTGCCTTAGCCAAGCACAGTGGCTCATGCCTGTAATCCCAGGTACTCTGGAGGCTGAGGCAGGAGGATCGTAAGTTCAAGGTCAGCCTGGACAACTTAGTGAGGCATCATCTCAAAATAAAATTAGAAAAAGGGTTGGGGATGTGGTTCAGTGGTAGAGTGCTGTGCCTGGCATGTGTGTGACCCTGGATTTAGTCCTCAGTATTAAAAGAAAAGAAAAGAAAAGAAAATCCCTAACCTTTACCCATCTCTGGGCTGAGCAGCTGCGGAGTAAGAGATAATGGGGTGGCTACTTAGGGGCTCATAACCACAGGGAGATCACTTCTGTGTCTCAGTTTCTTTCTTTCTTTCTTTCTTTCTTTCTTTCTTTCTTTCTTTCTTTCTTTCTTTCTGGAATTGAACTACTTAGAGGCACTAAATTACTGAGCCATATTCCCTGTCCTTTTATGTATTTTATTTAGAAACAGGGTCTCACTGAGTTGCTTAGTGCCTCTCTAAGTTGCTGAGGCTGGCTTTGAACTCTCGATCCTCCTGTCTCAGCTTCCCGAGCTGCTGGGATTACAGGCATGCACCAACACACCCAGCTTCAATTTCTTTATATATAAAATGTATTCAGGGAATAAGTCATAGTATTGAGCACTTATTGGCAGACATAGAGCTTCGTGATTCATATGTGCTTCTTCATGCACTCATTCAACAATTATTTTTTGAGCACTTACTATGTGCAGGTGTTCTTCTAGGCACTGGGGACATAACGGTGAATAAAGTCCTTGTGCTTCAGGATTGAATTCATTGAATCTGCCCAATGACCCTTTGAAGGTCGTTATTTAAAAAAAAATATTTTCTTTTTAGTTGTAGTTGAACACAATACCTTTATTTATTTATTTATTTATGTGGTGCTGAGGATCGAACCCAGCACCTTGCACATGCTAGGTGAGTGCTCTACCACTGAGCCACAACCCCAGCCCCCGAAGGTCATTATTATTGTTAACCCTGTTTGACAGATGAGGAAATTGAAGTTGAAAGCAGTTTAAAATCTGCCCCAGAATCACATGTTTACGAAGTAGCTGAGTTGGGATTCAAAATTAGATCCGTCAGACTCTCTACAGATTGTTCCTTTGATTGCCAGGCTGTGCAGTGCCTCTGAAGAAGAAAGTAATAAGCCAGTCTCCCCCGGGTCTTTTCAGGCTAAAGAACTAAATGTTGGCAAAGTCCGTAAGTGGGGAGACTACCCTGGGAATTAGAGCCGGTGTAAGTGGAGAAATAGAGAATTACTTTCACCACTTTGTGGCTTGGGAATAGAGCTGAGTTTGGCCTGGATTCCCTTCCCTTAACTCAAGGGAGGAGCAGCCTGTCATTTCACAGAATCATCTGGTTTTGAGGGTTCCAGAAGCCTATTTGGAAACACCTTATGCACAAGCGAGACCCACCATGAGAGAAAAACTGTGATGTTTGCATGGTCTAGAAACGATTTTCAGTGAAAGGGTGAGGGTCTTACACATCGCTGCTGCTCCCAAAACTGCTGTCACGCAAGAGTACAGTAATAACCCTCCAGGCACAAGGGACGCAGATGTCCGATACTAAATTCAAATTCAGTAAATATTTGAAGAAGAAAGAAAGAATGATTTCAATCCACACGTACATAACAAGCAGTCAAAAGCACTTATGCTGGATTTAGCACATGAGAAAGGACAGCAGGCTTTCAAACTCTCAGCAAGCCCTGGGGAAACCAGGGAAGGTGCCTGTCCTTTAGCACCTTCTTGGGCTACCTGGAAGTCAAGACATTGACAAAGAAATGTACAGAGGAGCCCAAAAGGAGATGAAAATCATCAGAACCAAGACATCCTGATTTTTTTTTTAAAGAGAGAGAGAGAGAGAGAATTTTTAATATTTATTTTTTTTAGTTCTTGGCAGACACAACATCTTTGTATGTGGTGCTGAGGATCAAACCCGGGCCGGCACGCATGCCAGGCGAGCGCGCTACCACTTGAGCCACATCCCCAGCCCGACATCCTGATTTAAAGAGCCTCTCTCAGCCTAAAATAAAAGTTCAGTTCCTTTTATTTTATTTATTGACTTAGTTCAGTTCCTTTTTTTCAAAATAAGTAAGGGTTTAAGGTCAAAGAATAGGAAATATCGATACATCATTAAGTTCAATAACTCCCCCCCAGAGCAAGAACATGACCCAGTAAAGATTCATACCTGTATCCTCATCTGTTTAAAATTACACAGGAGCTGAGCAATTCCTAACCAACACACATGCCCATCCTGTCCCCTATCACTGTAATCACGTTGCTGGCCTGTTTGTATTAGTGCCATTCAACACACTTGGAGGTCCCCCTGAACATCTGGCTGGCTTTGGACACTATTTGCCACGCTGCTGCAACTCTTACGACAGAGGTCAGATGTTGGCATCTCCTCCATCCTCTGTGACTTTGAGGGTCCTGGCTGCTTGGGTCTCAAATGATGGATTTTAAGCTTGGTATAGAATTTGGGAAATGAGGGGCTTGAAAAATAATACACCAGGGGGTCCAGCACGCTGTTCATGTAGGTGAAGGTGAGGGTGACGTGGAGGGCCACATGGACAGACGCGTTGCAGGCACTGGAGGGCAACGTCCAGACGAAATACAGTCTGGCCAGGACGCTGGGCAAATAGCAAGTGACGAAGACACTGGCCACCACCATGATGAAGTGGATAGCCTTCCTCATCCGAGCCTGTCTGGCCAGCTGCTGCCGCTGCTTCAGGCTCCAGATCACCTTGAAGGAACAGAACCCGATGAGGCCCAGAGGCAGGAAGAACTCCAGTTGGAACATGATGTCGTGCCAGCCGTTCGCTGACTCCATGATGAAGCTCTCACAAGACGTGGCATTCTTCTGCAGACACAGGTGGCTCTCCGTCAAAAGATGCAGAGTTCCCAAGATGACCAAAGTCCAAAGGACGCAGACGGTGCCAGCTGCGGTCCGGTTCGAGATGGTGTTCACCATATGGTGGGGGTGGACCACTTTGAAATACCTGTCCACGGCCACCACTGTCAGGAAGACGATGCTCCCGGCTCTGTTCATGGCCAGCATGAACAGCACCAGGCGACAGGAAAGATCCTGAAAGGCCCAGTTTCTGTCTCTGAGGTAGTAGTCTGTCCGGAAGGGTAGGCAGATCATGAGGAGGAAATCAGCCACGGCCAAGTTGAAAAGGTAAATGGTGCTCGGCTTCCAGGTCTTCATGTGGAAGCAGAAACCACACAGAGCAATCCCATTGCCCAGGGCGCCGAGCACGAAGGCCAGGATGAGCAGGGGTGGCATCACCTGAGAGATGAGGTCCCCCTCAAGGATGCAGCATGACTTGTTGTCCATAGTGCAGGGAGGACAGGTGTCCGGGGTGCCCAGTGGCCCCTGGAGTCCCCACCAAGGCACAGGTGCTTATCTGTGTGCTACCACTGACCCAGTGGCTGTGCCTTCAACCTCATCACCTTGACAATCAGTCACCGCACCCAGGGGTAGATGGGGCTACCACACCCGGAGGAGAAATCAGCCAGGAAACGAAAGCCACAGGGAGGTCCTTTCTAAGAAGCTGGGGTTACAAGCCGCTTGTCTTCCAGAGAGGTGAAGCCTGTAGCTCGGCCAGACTCCGAGATGCATTCGATATCTTGTAGGTGGGAAGTGGCCAGAGGGTCCCATGAGATTCGTGCTGCAGAGGAGTTACTGAGTGCAGCCCCAGAAGAATTTTCATACTCGGCTTCTTCTTTCTCCTGCGACTCACTCTGTCCTGGAGAGCTCACAGTACTGGCCCAGAAGGCAGGGACACGCTTGTTTGTCCTCCCTCCTGGTGGAGAAATACAAACATTTCCTGGAGTCAGTCTGAGCCTCTGCCATTGCTTTCCTCCCCTAACCTTTGCCTGACTGCCCCGTCCTCTCCTCCATCCCGTGGGACACTCCAGGCCATGCCACAGAGGGGAGGCTCTGCTCTGCAGTTGCTCGGAGGCACTTCCTGTGCCCACTCCCAAAAACAGCACTCAAAAATTGGGAGGGTCTATACAGAAAAAAAAAAGGTCTAAACATATGACATTTGTTGGGTGTTAGAAAAATTCTTTGGAGGGGGTCACTCTCCCTCCCCTTCTTCCCCACGTCCCTACCCTTTGCTTGCTTCTGTGAAGCCAAGTGACCAGTTGCACAACCAGCAAGACCATGAAATGGACCTGAAGCCCACTTCCATGTCTGTCTCCAGGAGACGCCTCTGTGGAGCCAGACTTGGCTCTGAGCTTGGTCGCTCAGAAGAGCCAAATGCCATGATATGAATGTCTTTTATTTTAATTATTGCTGAGCCTGTGGGTGTGGGAGCATGGGGACTAGGGGAGTTGGTCAAGGATCTATCTCTAAAATCATCTTGGGTAAAATTAGACTGCGCTGAGAAACTGGAGTCTTTGCCGAAATTTCCTGCCCTTTGACTTTAGGGATTATCTCTCTGCCCTGTGCCTTTCTGCTCCCCATTTAGGAAAGGGGGTGGGTGTGGGATTGGAGGGTACATTGGAAGAATGCAAGCAGCTTCTTCCAGAGGTTAGCAGAGAGCTACATTTTGCAACTGAATACAAAGAGCTTCCTCCCTCCTGGACTTGGAAACTTGGACTTTCCTGGCTGGTTCCTCTTCCTCTAGCCTGTTCTCTCTAATCCTTCTCCCGTATCTGTCGACACGGCAGATGGGTGGCCTGTGGGCCATACAGGGTGCAAACACCAGTTTGGCTTGGCCCATGTGTTTAGAAAACCTAGGATTGTCCTATGGAAGCCTGGATTTCTGCCTTTTAGAAAATTGGAAGATCTACCACAGTGGACCAATGATCCCACCTGGTGACAACCAGCTGGAGCCAAGAGTAGCTGCCCTCTGAGGGCATGAGTTCTGCAGTTTGCCACTGTCCCCACCACTCCCCATTACCTTAGATCTACTTGGCCCCCCTTAATTTACATTCCTGGTCTCTATCGGCTTTTGGGTCTGTCACCTCTGTTCTAGGTTGAAAGTCACATTCCTCGGATTGACACACAAAGGCCTTCGTGCTCACCGAACATTTGCTACACCTAGTTCCCCACTCATCCATGAGCTGCTTCTTCTTCTTCTTCTTCTTTTTTTTTTTTTTTTTTGTTTTCTTTTTTGGTACAGAGGATTGAACTCAGGGGCACTCAACCACTGAGTCACATCCCAGCCCTATTTTGTATTTTATTTAGAAACAGGGTCTCACTGAGTCGCTTAGCACCTCGCTTTTGCTTGAACTCGTGCTTTGAACTTGCAATCCTACTGTCTCAGCCTCGAGAGCCGCTGGGATTACAGGTGTGCACCACCAAGGCCAGCCATGAACTTCTTGAAGACAAGTCCCATGCTCTTGGCAAGAGGAACCAAGAATAGGGACCTGGATGAGCTTTCTGAGAGCTCCTAACAGCTACCTTCCCTCCATGAACTTTGGGGTTCTCTGAGTAGTTAACTATTGGGGTAGTAACCACTGTAGGCTGTCACACTCAAGAAGAGTCCAGGTGAGTAACACTGCAGACCTTCAGATGCTCAGCCTGGAAATTTCACCAAATGGCAAATATTATTTTTTCAGTGCTTGGGGATGGAACCCAGGGCCTCAGACATGTCCCGCCCCAGCTCCCATGGTAAGTCCTCCTCATTCTGTGTTATCAGAAGGGGCAGTAGTTCTTCTAAATGCAAGTTCTTCCCTTTTCCCCACATGACTAACAGTAACTGCTTTCTTTTCCACATCCTGACTTGTCAAATAACTTGCCTCTCTCTGTAGAATTATCTGGAAGGAAAATGATCAAGAGCAGTTTCTCTTTCTCTGGAAGTCTAGTGGTTTTTCATATACAGATTGCTCTGATGCTACCCCAGGGGCTACGGAAGGTGGGACCGCTATTGGAGGACCACATGCTCCAGAGGATACTCCACATCCTCTCCTTCATGCTTCAGATTAAATCAATCCAAAAATGAACTCAAATAGATCTAAGGCCGCCACGGAAGAGCCACAAGCACACAACTCTCAGAAGAACACTCAGGCGGAAAACTCCATGTAGTTGGATTTGGCATTGATTTCTTAGATATGACACCAAAAGCACAGGCAATAAAAGAAAAAAATAGGTAAACTGGGCTTCATCCAAATTAAAAATTTGGCCGGGTACAGTGGCACATGCTTGTAATCCCAGTGACTCTGGAGGCTAAGGCAGAAGGATCATGAGTTCAAAGCCAGCCTCAGCAAATTAGGGAGGTGGGATGTGGCTCGGTGGTTAGGCACCCCTGGGTTCAATCCCTGGTACCAAAATAAATAAATAAATAAATAAAACTTTTCATCACCAAAGGACACTGTCAGCAGAGCAAAAAAAGCAACCTCTGGAGTGGAAATCATATTGGCAAACCATACAGAAGATACGAAGAACTCCTGTAATTCGGGAATGGAAATCAAGCCAGGCATGGTATACATATATTTGTAAACCCAAGACTTGGAAGGCTGAGGCAGGAGGATCGCACGTTGGAGGACAGCTTTGGAAATTTAGTAAGACCCTGTCTCAAAAAAATAAAAAAGGCTGAGGATGTGGCTCAGTGGTAGAGCACCTCTCGGGTTCAATCTCCAGTACTAAAAAAGAAAAAGAAAAAAAAAAAAAAAGAAAGAAAGCATGTTTAGCTGGATGTGGTGGTGTGTGCCTATAACCCAGTGACTGGGAGGCTGAGGCAGGAGGATGGCAAATTTAAGGATAGCCTCTACAACTTAGTGAGACCCTATCTCAATTTCTTTATTTTTTTTTTAAAGACAGGGAATGTATTTCAGTACCCTGGATTCAACCTCCAGCACAACAAACAACAAATCCATGTGAATGCACTTAATGTCACTGAACTAACTACTTAATAGTAGTTAAAATTGTAAATTTCATATTATGTAGATTTTGCCACACATACAAATCTAGAATAGTCCACAGTCATTGAAGGGAAGATTGATGCAGGGCTGGCTGTAATAGGCCTTACCACTGAAGGGCTCTGTGACACAGGAGACAGTCTGACACTCACAAAGCAGTATGTGTAGCACATATCATTTCTGTGACGTTATCCATATAAAATGCAAACAGAAGGGCTGGGTTTATGGCTCAGTGGTAAGGCATGTGTGAAGTACTGGGAGGCCAAAGCCTAGACCAGCATCTTCCAATAGAACTTTCTACAAAGTTGAAAATGTTCTAGAATACAGTCTTCCCTCCATAGTGTGGGTTCCACATCTGAGGATTCGATCATATGGACCAAAAATATTTAAAAAAAAAAAATTGTGGCCAGGCACATGCCTGTAATCCCAGCAGCTCTGGAAGCTGAGGTAGGAGGATCGTGAGTTCAAAGGCAGCCTCAGTAAAAGCAAGGTGCTAAGTAACTCAGTGAGACCTTGTCTCTAAATAAAATACAAAATACAGTGGTCAAGTGCCCTTGAGTTCAATCCCCATTACAACAGCCCCCTAAAAATTGGGTTTGTACTGAACTCGAACAGACATTTTTCTTGTTTTTATTCCCTAAATAATGCAGAATAGCAACTATTTGCATAATATTTATATTGTATTAGTTACTGTAAGTCATCTAGAGATGATTTAAAGTATAGAAGAGGTTGGACACAGTGGCTCACTAGGGTAATCTCAGCTATTTGAGAGGCTAAGTCAGGAGGCTTGCAAATTCAAGGCTAACCTGGGCAATTCAGTGAGACCCTGTTTCCAAAAAAAAAAAAAAGGCTAAGCTGGGGATATAGTTAAAGTGCCTCTGCATTCAATCCCCAGTTCGGGGTGGGGGGGGTGGGGGGGGGAGAGTATATTGCATAGGTTATATGCAAACACTAAGTCTTTTTTTGTTTGTTTGTTTTTGTTTTTATTTTTGTTTATAGTACTGGGGCTTGAACCCAGGGGTGCTTTAGTACTGGGCTACATTTACATTTTTTATTTTGAGACAGGGTCTCCCTATACTGCACAGACTGGCCTGGAACTTATGGTCCTCGTGCCTAAGACTCCTGAGTTGCTGGAATTGCAGGTTGGGTCACCCCATCTGGCTAAGTCATCTTATATCAGAGACTTTAGAGTCTACAGATTTTGGTATGAGGGGAGGCAGGTCCTGGAACCAATTCCTGTAGATAGCAAGGGACAACAATATACAGGTAGCTACTGAGCTCTTGAAACGGGGCTCACAGGAACTGAATTTTTAATGAAATTCAATTTTGATTAACATTTAAAAGCCACCTGTGGTTTGTGGCTACCACGTAGGAAGCCCAGGAAACATCACTTCCCTCCCCTTCCAAGCCTTCTGTGAATCTCCCCCTCTCGCCTGGAAGAAGCCCTCTTTCCTGTGCCACTTTTGCCACCCACACACTTGTCACACAGTCTAGTGAAGATTTACTTTTGCTTCTCCCCAGAACATACAGAGCCCCTCACCGGGCACAGGCGGACACGCATGTGTCTTCAATAAGTGAACAAATGATGCCTGGCCTGTGCAGTTTCCTCACTGTAAGGGTCCCTTACTGCTGAGCTACATCCCAGGCCCTTTTGATATTTTATTTTGAGACAGGGTCTCACTAAGTGGCCTGGGCTGATCTTGAACTTGCAATCCTCCTGCCTCTGCCTCCCGAGTCACTGGGATCACAGGGGTGTGTTGCTCTTCCTGGCTCCATTGTCTCTTTTAAGGATTTCACTATTGGATTTCGGGCCTAGATAACTTAGAATTATTTTATGGTGGAATCCTTAACTTCCTGAACAGGAAGAGCAGACGGACAGAACTTTTGGACACCTCTGCCAGGCTGATGTGGCAAGAGCTCAGGTCTCTCAGGCCCTGTCATTCCCCCTCCTCTGATGCTGTTATGAGATAGCATTCCGCTTTCCTTGTGACAAGGGCAGGAAGTGGACATTCTGGTTGGGCCACCTCACAGGTGGTAGGAGGAGAAGCTGCCTGTTGTAGGAATTTA